TTGGACAGGTTTGCGGTTTCGGGTCGATCTTCTCAGGGCGGTATTTTCTACCTCTGCGCCGCTTTGTGCAGTCACTGGCTCCTCTGCCCCTAAGCTAGTGCTGGCCGTGGTAGAAGAAGGTGGAACATAAGCCTCGGTGGATGGCGTAGTGCCCTGTTCAGGAAGTAGGAGCTCAGTCCTCGGGATGTCAGGATCCCTATCAAGGGTTGCTGGAAGTTCTAACTCTCAGAATTCTCCACTTACTGTGTCCGTTCGGCTGCCAACTTGGTCCAGATGTCGACGCACAATTCTCCCACCTTCTAACTCTAATTCCACTATTTGACCCTCGCTTTTTCGAACTACCGCTGGACACCAGTTCGTTTCGTGTTCCAGTCGCGTGTAGACACTTTCGTTGGGCGCGACGACTCGTGGTCGGGTGCTCACATCATATCGTTCTTTCATCTTCGTCTGTTTTGCAATGACTCTATCCTGCGTTGATGGATTAAGCAGGTCGAGTCGTGTGCGCAACTGCCGCTTGAACATTAATTCTGCAGGCGAAGCGCCAGTTGAGTCGTTCGGTGTTATGCGATAGCTGAACAGAAAGCGTGACAACTTGGTGGCCAAGTCCGCTTCTGTCTGTCTGGCTAGTCCGTGCTTTATTGTCTGGACTGCACGCTCTGCGAGGCCATTTGAAGCAGCGTGGTACGGGGCAGTAGTTAAATGTCTAATTCCATTTTTCTCCATGAAATCTTTAAATTCTGCACTAGTAAAGGCCGGACCATTGTCTGAAACGACCATTTCAGGTATCCCAAAAGTAGAAAAGACGGTTCGCAACTTGTTGATTGTAGTCAGTGAGGAACAAGAATTTCCTGTCGGAATCGCATCAATCCATTTAGTGTGGGCGTCAACTACCACCAAAACCATATGGCCTTGGAATGGCCCAAAAAAATCGACGTGTACCCTCTTCCACGGCGAGTCGGGCCAGGCCCAAGGCTTCAGAGGAACCTTCGGTAAGGTCTTCTGTGTTATTTGGCACACGTGACATGCTTTCACCACGTTTTCTATATCTGCGTCAATTTTAGGCCACCAAACATAGCTGCGGGCGAGAGCTTTCATTCTAACTGTACCAGGATGAACATTATGCAGGTCTCTGAGGATGGCCCGTCGGCCTTGTGGTGGCACAACTACACGATTGTCCCATAGTATGCATCCGTCTTGTAGACTTAACTCGTTCTGACGGCTGAAGAATGGTTGAAAATCAGAGGAGGTAGAGGACGGCCAGCCAGATTGTAAGGCTCTTTTTACCCGACTTAGGAGAGGGTCTCTCAATGTCCACTGTCGAATTTGTTGACAGGTTACAGGCGCGTTGACTAGATTCTGCAAAAGATTCACGGTCTCAAAAACAGGTGCCCCGTTAATGCCATCGTCCACGATAGGAAGCCTACTCAAGGCGTCAGCCACTACGTTTGCACTACCTGTAACGTATTTCATTGCATACGTGTAAGCAGATAAAGTGAGTGCCCATCGTTGCATTCCTGGCGAGGACATCTGTTGTATCCCTCGTTTTTCTCCCAGCAAACCTAAGAGGGGTTTGTGATCAGTGTGAATTTCAAAGTGTCGGCCAAAAAGATACAGGTGGAACCAATGTAGGCCAAACATTATTGCTAAGGCCTCTTTGTCTAGTTGCGAATAGTTGGTTTCCGCCTGTGACATGGTTCTTGATGCAAAAGCAATCGGCATCTCCGAACCCGAAGGCATTCGATGCATGAGAACCGCACCTACGCCGTACGGAGACGCATCACATTTCAGTATGATAGGCTTTTCGGGGTCATAGTGAACAAGGACAGATGAGGAGGTAAGAGCCGCCTTTGCCTGTTCGAAAGCACTTTGTTCGACCTCCGCCCAGTGCCAGCCACAATTCTTTTCAAGTAGTCGATAAAGAGGCTTGAGAATTGTAGCCGATTGATTCATAAAGCGACTAAAGTGGGTGACCAACCCCAGGGATGAACGCAATTGACTAGTATTGTTGGGGCGCGGCGCCGTCTTCAAGGCTTTGAGCTTATGTTCGAGTGGATGGAGGCCAGTTTTATCCACCCTGAAGCCCAGGTATTCTACCGAGTCGGCAAGGAAAGTGCACTTATCTTTCCTGAGTTTAAAACCGGCGTCCTCTAAACGTCCTAACACGATGTTTAGAGTCTCTAGATGACTATGTTCAGATGGGCCGGTAACTAATATATCGTCAAGATATGCGCAAACGTGAGGTATATCCTTCACGAGATTATCAATCAAGCATTGAAATAAACCGGGAGCCGAACTTCCTCCCAATGGTAGTCTTTTATATCGAAATAAACCTCGATGCGTATTGATGGTGGTGGCGTCTCGGGATTCAGTATCTAGGACGACTTGGTTGTAGGCATGCTTTAGGTCCAAAGTTGTAAATTGATGACCACCCGAGAGAGATGCGTACAGATCCTCGATGCGCGGAAGAAGATAAGGGTTCAGTTTAGTTGCTGAGTTGATTGTCAGCTTGTAGTCGCCACAGATATGCACAGAACCATCGGTTTTAAGAACAGGAACTATTGGGGCTGCCCATTCCGAATACTGCACGGGCTCAATAATATCCCCTTTCTGTAGGCGATCCAGCTCTTCTTCGATCTTCGGTGCGAGTGCATAGGGACTGTACGAGCTTTGAAGAACCGGGGCCGGAAATCTGACTGAAACTGAAACTTAACAGGTGGACCGCGGTAGTGGGTAGCTAAATCGTCACGAAATAGATCCTTATGATTTACCGAAATTGAATCTAAAGCCGGATTTACACCAATCCGATGTACATAGGATAGCACAGAAGGCACACATTTAATCCAATTTCGTCCAAGGAGATTCGGTTGCTGGCTTCCTCCCACCACATGAACCGGCAAGTAATGAAGTTCTCCATCATGTTCGACTTCGGCTGTAAAGACCCCTCGAACGTCTACGTTCTGTCCAGTGTAACTACGGAATGTTGAGCTAGCCGGTAGGAGGGAGGGTAATTTCTGAAGAGAGGCCTCATTGATGAGAGTAACAGCTGAGCCAGTGTCGATTTCAAACTTCACGGGATGGTGATCAACCGGAAGCGTGATGGTGTAGGGGGATTGGAGAGTAGCGCTGGCCGGAAACATTCGGAGTATCGCCTCACCATCCCCAGCTGGACTAGGGTAGGTCGCATGCGTGTTACTATTCGCTCGTCTTTTGGAGAAACACACTCGTTCTATGTGGCCGACTTTCTTGCAAAACTGGCATACCGTCTTCTGGTGTCTACAGTCTGACCACCGGATATGATGCTGGCCACAACGGTAGCATGATGGTAGTTGTTTTGAGGGAGCTGAGGGTCGCTGTCTAGGTGAAGACACAGCAGTGTTGACCAGGGAGACAGCCATTTCCGATTCCAAGGATGTCATCACTCCATCGTTTGACTGGTTCAGCTGCTGAAGGTTTTGCCGCACGCGCTCCTGATGACTGGCAATATCCCAGGCTTTCTCCCATGAAAAATCCTTCTTCTCTGATAAGGGATTTTCCCGAGCTTTTTCATCGCGCAGACCGACGATCAACTGCTAAGCAAGCATTGCGTGCTCGAAGTTGTCTGCCCTGATCTCTTTATACCCACAATCCTGGATGGCCAGAGTCAGATTAGTAATGAAATCACTGACAAATTGATTAGATTCTTGACGCATTTGACAAAACCGATAGCGACTGAGAAAGACGTTGTCCTTTCCTCCTCACGCTGACTCGAGTTTTGAGAAGGCTGTTTGGAGATCTATAGCCTTTTGTAGATTGAGGGCATCGAAATATCGTTGTCTAAACTCTCCGAGATTCGTCCGGAGGAGTTTCAACTTAGATGGGACGTCTAGTACAATTGTGGGTGACAAAATCGGGAGTAGTTCAATATAATCCTCAAATGTCTTCCTCCATTGCAACCACGAGTCATTTGAGGGCTTCGGGGTGTTATTTGGCCAAAAAGGTAGCGGTGTAGGCAGCAATGAAGACATGTTCGTTAGGCTGCGTCGCCAATGTTATGCATGCAAAACAGAAGGCTAATTGGAAATAGGACGTGTACTGAGTACGATAGACAGCACAAGTGAGGAGGCTTGGGGGGAACGGCCGGGTATATGGCAAGGGGACTGTCATAGGCTGATGGGTGGCCAATCACCACAAGGACGGTGTGAACAGGGGGCCATGACCTTGATTGTTCGCTTGTCACGCGTTTGTGGCATGATATCCTGACGGCCCGGGCAGGATACGTTGCAGCCTCCAACTCATGGATCATCTTAAAGCACTCATCCAGAAGATGTGGCACCAAAGACAAGTCCTCTCTACCAGCGGAAAGGGAACTGCCAAGTGTCCAACAACTACATAGGAATCTCGCTGTTCAAAATCGTCAGAAAAGTCTGCTCTCGCGTTCTCCTAAATTGCCTCAACAGCCATTTGGAAGAGACTCTTGCCGTAAATTCAGTACGACTTCCGCCGTCATCGCGGCACCATCGATATGATTTTCGCCGACCGCCAACTGCTGAAGAAATGTCAAGAAATGCGCATCCGTACCTATTCTGCGTTCGTGGATTTGACGAAAACCCTTGACCCGATGAATCGCGAAGGACTGTGGGGTACCGTGCGGAAATTTGGTTGATCCAAGCGACTCACTCAGATGGTACGTCAGCTCCACGATGACAGGATGGCGCGAGTCACAGACAATGGAGCTGTCTCAGAGGCACTCGCATTTACCAACGAAAGGAAGCAGGGCTGCGTTTTCGCGCACACCCTCTTCCGCCTCATGTTCTTTTCCATGCTAATGGACGTCTACCATGATGAGCTCACCGGGATGTACCCCCAGTCGGGTGTACCCACAGCGGCCGTCCACGAACTTCTTTTCGCCGACAAATGCTCTCTCAACACAACCACGGAAGGGACATGCAAAGGAGCATGGCTTTCCTCGTCGCCGCCTGTGACAACTTGATCCTGCTCATCAACACGGGAAAACAGTGGTCATGCTCCAACCGCCACCAAACGCTGCCTACAATGCATGTCTCATCATCGTCAACGGCGTCCAACTGCAATTCATAGAAGCTTTCATCTATCTGGGCAGCGCTCTCTCTCGCAGCACCAAAGTCGACGATGAAGTGGTCTGCTGGATCTCCAAAGCCAACCAAGCCTTCGGTCGCCTAGAATCGTCGCGGTCTCCTCCTCAGCACCAAGCTCAAGATGTACAAAGCTGTCATCTTGACGACGCTGCTGCACGGAGCGGAGACCTAGACGGTGTACAAGAAGCAGGCGCGGAAGCTCAACAACTTTCACCTCAGTCGCCTTCGGCGGATACTAAAGCTGAGGTGGCAGGACCAGATCCCGGACAAGGAAGTACTAGAACAAGCAAAAATCCTGGAGATTCACGCTATGCTGAGACAACTGCAATTGCGTTGGAGCAGCCACCTCGTGCGGATTGACAACAAGCGGCTGCCCAAACGACTCTTCTTTGGAGATGTCACCACTTGTCTTCGTCGACAAGGCGATTAAGTCCGACCCTACAAAGACACCCTAAATGTTTCCCTTATGAGCCTGTAGATCAACTCGGCAAAATGGGAAGACCTCACCCGAAACCGACCGGCCTCGCCTCATCCGCCTGCACTGTCCACACTGTCCGCGCACATTCACTCATCACATGGGGCTACCCGGTCACATGCGTATCCAAGACAGCGAGATTCACCGCAGTATCGACACACCTTTGACACCCACCATGACTAGCCCAGTCAGCACCCCATGGTCCAGTGTGGCCACTGCCAGCAGCCCCATCAGCGCCACCACCACCATCATCACCGCTGAAACCGACTCTGACTCTCCCAACCTGTCCTGCCAACACTGCCCCTGTGCATTCACTTCACACATCGGCGTGGTCTGTCACTTGCGAATTCATCTCACAGAGAATGCCAACCCAGTACCTGGAACATCCACATACATCCGCCGCATCTGCCTCAACTACGCTCACTGGCCTCGCACATTCAGCTATCTCATGGGTCTATTAGTTCATATGCGCATCCACGGAGACCTGCGATACACAACCGCCGGCTACACCATACCATCACACCTTCTCCCACCAGCGCCTGCACCACACATCAGCATCACCCGTCCCTACACGACGCCAGCGCTCGACTGACACCTCTCACGCAAGTGGAAAGTGTGCTTCGCGGCTCCTTCTCCACGTGGCTACTCTGCTGCATGTGTGATCCGGGTCTGAGACTATCACGGTACGTCAAGTGTCGTGGCTTGGAAGGTTGCCAGCTGACGCCTCAACGAAGTCCATGCAGTCTGCCCAGTTTGTGTGTTTGTGTGAAGTGACAGACTGATGGGCTGAGAGTTAGGCTGCAACAAATCCTTCGTGGTGCGACCTCGGGCACCCACGCCTGTGCGTGTGTGTATATGAGTAGTGCCTCTCCATCGATGACTGATTGGTTACCCGACCTTGGAAGGCTGATGACTCAGGCTAAATGAAGAGCCCCGTCGCACCCGTCTGAGCTTTAAGGGTTGTATGCGTCCGCTATGCCATAATGTTCGTACAGGTCGTCTTCAAATGACTGACGGGACACCAGCTGTCCAAGGTCACCATGATTCTGCCAAAGAACCCAAGTCAAATGACCACCAACCCCAACAGAACTCTTGTTCCACATTCTTAGGTCAACCGACACTTCGCAGAGCGAGTAAAATTCCCCTTTCTTTCATCCAACTTCCTTTCCCCCTCCCTTGGGAATGGATCGACTAACGTTAAAATGACCGACGTAGACTTATTTTGGGTCAACAGCTGTCATATATTAAGGGAGATAATTGCCCGATTGATAGAACGAATATTAAAGTAATGGGCAACCATTGAAATCCTTTTGATATCTCTTGAGTTTGAGGGACGCCGATCGTAAGAGCCAGTAACAACACAACCCGAGCTTCAAGCGAATAATCAGAGGGAGTTACAGACTGCATTTGACATCCGCTGCTGTCGGTGCTCCTGTGTGCCCATTTTACTTCTGACAGCCTTAGGCATTTTAGGTTTTCTATTCATCGCGAATTCTAATGGACTGGCCGTCGGCAATCCCCTGTGCGTGCATTACCCCATGCCATTCAGTCTGTGTACGTAGAGACTGCGCAACGACAACAAGGCGCATTGTAGGCCAGGAAACCGTCAAACGACGAAGATGAAATGACCGACAACCCGATACATCTGAGCGGTTGCTGCTGTCCGTGGTTTGTTAACAAAAGGAAAATGGGGTCTAATTGAAATATAACCACGGCACTCCCCTAGAAATTCACCCCAAACCGCATTCTGTATCCCGCCAACAATTCACTCCCATTATCAGCTCAATGTAATCGACGAGTGCTGTTCAGAATGCCTGTGAGAACGATACCGGCAGAACGAACGTCCTAATAATGTCATTTCGTATCAATCCACACCTTTTTATGCTGTGCTAAGGTTAGCAAACGTAAGAGATCCGGTCGATAATCTGAGGAAAAAGAATTGCTCACCGGATCGAGGGAACTGTCTTGATGAAATTTCGGAGAACATTTCCTATGATACTATGGGTCGTTTGAGTATTAAACCTTGCGTTCTTAGGATAAAATTCTACATTCCAGCAATAAACACCAGTCTCCCATTGTGTCGCTCAATAAAATTATCACATTTTCTTTTGCTGCTGCTTTATGGTGTACCCTGCCACCAAGTACAAAAGTAGGGTGAGAATAAATTCAGATAGATCATTCTTGGGGTAGATAACCAAACACCGACTGAAGTACTGTAGTCCAAGGAACTGAATATGGTGCATATGCGGCCGGAAATATGATTCCCGAGTTCGACAACCAAATACAAGAGTCTATCACAACGAAAGTAAATAGCAACCATGTAAGCAGGGATTTCCGGGGATGGTTATGTATCAGTCTTGTCGAAAACCCGTTTGAATTTTGATTAGCTGCGTTTATTCATGCCCCGTGTGTGCAGTGACTGACGTGATGTAAAGTCTCCGTCTAATATGCGTCTCACGTGAGGTCCCCCATGCTCCTCTCAATAACGTTCAAGTCAACACTACCCACTACCTATTGTACTTATGTACGTCTACTTTGTGTGGCTGTGAACACGCCTTATTCGCTTGGATTTGAATCTTACAGAAGTGAGCTTGCCATAATGTTCACAGTAAAGAGGAGTCGTCACAATCTAGCTGACGTTCTGTGGAAGAAGCACGTTACTCCACCGAATGATGCCCTTCTAACCCGCGAATTTCAAAGCGCCATGGGAAGTCCAAGCCCCCCAAACTTATGGTCATTAATAATACGCCGATTCTTCGTTATAGTAATGGGTGACTAAGTATTGTTCACTCTCTGCTTTCCCTCTCCAATGTCCCTGACGATCTTCTAAACCCTCCAGCTGACTGGTGATGAGATTGGGTGCAGCCTATGCCATGCCAGGTACTCGAATATGTGCACATATGGTAGCTTACCCCTCATTACCGACGTTAGCAGACCTATCTTCGAACTGGGGCTACAGAAGTGTCTGATTAGGACCAACCGAGATGGGAGGGTGACTTCAGTGGTGGTTCGGTGGTGTTTTATTGTTTAGAAGGCGAGAGAGTTGATCTTGTTGACACTGTGGTGAATCCGAAGGTGCTCAGTAAGGCTATTAGGGACCTTGAGCGCGCGCGCCAACGGTGTGTTCATATTGACAGGGGTTGGGTGATGGCGTACCGTGTTTGTCGTTTCGCTTTGACTTCCTCCATTCGATTGGCTTTGGAGGTACCTGCTCCACCTTTGATGCGTATTTGTCATGCCGGCCGATTTTATGCGAGACATTCCCAGGTCACTTGACGCATTTGCGACGCCTGTGGAAGACGTTCACTGTGGCCTTTTGTCGGCGCATTTATCCGCCTTGTCTGCAAGTCCCCGTGAGGAAGTCGCCCTAATTGCCTGCACTGGCCCTCACGACGTGGCCATTCCACTCCAGTTGGACGTGCTTTAGCGTGAGTAGATGCTTTGCACTCCCACTCTTTCCAGGGTTTCACTATCAGGAGCCTTCTCTTTTACTTCCCCATCAGTATTCTTAGTAAGCATGTGGAATAAAAAGGAGTTCAGTCTTTTTACCTGACTTTCGTATACTGTTCGTTCCACGGCCCCAAACAGGAGCATAAGCAGAACAACAGCTCAGTACATCCGCAGTTTAGTTTTGGGGAGGCTGCCATGACGAATTTAGACTGAGAACTGTAGTCTCTTGCAGATTTTCGGTTTTGATGCTTCCTGAGACTGTACTCTCAAGTTGCGTGAACTTGTCCAGGTAACGATAGAATTTAGGACCCCCAAGTAGATATCAACTCCAAAAATATACCTTAACATTCAGTCCAACTGTAAACATCACTTCTCATTCATCGTTACCATTATTTGGAATTTCCTCCCCTTCGTGACTAAATGTAAACTTACCAGCGACACCATATTCAAATGCGTCATTTTTTGAAAATTGCTTTTTGTTTATTTTCTAATTCTCGCACTAATTTTCTTTGCCGAAGGTCATCGCACGATAAGATTTTCGGCAGAAATCTATTTATTTTCTGTGCCTTCTTGCACGCCGTTCTGTAAAACTCCCTCTACCACCATTAAACGTATGACACGGTCCATAGGCTAGCTTAAGTTAGTTGTGGGTCGTACGCCCTATCATCGCTACTTGTCCACAGAAACGAGGCCAGCTCCTTAATTTTGTCCATTGGTTCACTACATTTCTCAGTTGACGCGTTTTGTATCTGTCCGCCAATTGTTCCGTGCTCATGATCAGTCCACAGTTGGCGTTTCCGGAGGCAAAAGGGTTCAGGCCTCATTGTACGTCAGCTTCACTTACTGTGCTAAATGCACTGTCTTCTGTAAAGTGCTTATTTATCGTGGCCTTTATGGCTCTTTGGACGACCTGCATGCAAAAAACGTTGAGCGACTTCCCATCGGTTCGGCAGATGATCCTGATTTCAGGACGCTCCTTACGGCAGGCCTCCATCAGTACGATTGAAAAGGATGGAAGAGACCACAGAACCCATGTTTATCCCATCTGTTACTACAAATGCATCCAATGTTGACCTAATGAGTGCTGCCACGTCACTACATAATCGTCTCATCGTTTGCATTAGCTAGTGGGGACCTCCGAAGTTCAGCATGACGTTTCAGTCCCCTTGTGAGTTTCACGGCATGGAAGACTTTTGTCGGCTCAAGGAAGATTGTGTAGCGTGCGATTCTCATTTTGTGACATTTTATTGCAGCCGCCATGTCGCCAGAATTGTTTGCTATTCTGTGATGTGCCCGGAATCCTCATTACATCCCCACAAGGAGTGCCTGCTACAGGTATGCATTGAGATGATTGGGAAAAAGGCGGGGGACAGTTGTCGTCGCTTATACATGCAGGGAAGGTTCTGCAGTGATTGCCACGGGTCTGCTGGTTTCATCTGTGTTAATGTAGATGAACGATGGTCGCATCCCGGAAAGGTATCGGGATTTGTCCTGGTTACTACATTTTTGGAATAATGTGCTACCCTTGTCCAGTCGATGAGGGTCACCGTCTGCGCAAATTTCGGTTGAAATTGAGTCTCTGTCCGGAGATTTTCCAGTAAACTATTCCCGGGTAGTAGCTTTAGAGTCGTGAATTCTGCATATTCATTCTAATGCGGTTTTTAGAGGCAAGCTAGGGGTGCGTAATGATTGACAAAAAAGAAAGCGTCAAGGTCGTCGTCCTTCATCCTAGCATGACCTTCGACAGTAACGTACGGATTACGCATTGACAAACACCATGCTCGTGGCTCGGCCGATAACACTATAAAGTACCGGCAGTCCTACCTGCTCAGACACGCCCATCTTCTATGGTGTTCTTTAAGTTCTTTTTGACTTGCTGCCATATTTGATCTACTTACTTAGCGTTTGCACAAATAAACGACTCGTTTCCACTGGTGGTAATAAAATCCTGCGTTCGAGTGGTGATCATGAATCTCCCAAAATCGATGGCCATAAGGCCTGAACATGAATCAACGACGCGGAACTTTCAATTACCGTATATAAATTGCATTTCCCTTGCGGCATTCTGAAATAAAACTCGGAAGTGGGGGTGTACATAGCTTTACCAGATGAAGTCAATGACTGAAATTTCCTACGCCCCGC